CTCAATAATCCAGGAATACAATCCAACATTTTTCAGTCAGGTCATCTGGACAGTTTCTTTTTTTTGTGCTGAAAAGTTTCACCTTCGCCAAAGAGACCATCTTTGGACCATAGAAATATGCCGTCGGTCCAGGCGTGCGTGAAGTATACGCCTCTAGTGCTCATGTGCTTTAACATCTCAGCAGATGTTTACTTTATCAGCGGGCGGTCAGCTGAAAACCCCCACTCTGCGAGGTGGGTTGAGAAACCTCTGGATTCAAATAGGGGGGCGACAGGTGCCGTGTAAATGAACAGCAGAACCGCAGAGAACGGTGCGGTTTCACTCAAAACGCGCGGCGTGTAAACGGCCCCTACTGAGAAGAGTCGTGTCCTGATAAGGCCTGCGGGCCTTCTCTTGATGAACAGCTAGTAAACAGATAAATGTACCTGGAGACAGCTCGTCGCAGGGGGTTCTTGGCTTGCAGCGAGGTGAAAACCAGAACCAGAGTGTTCAGACAAGCATCTAAAACAGAACCGGGCTTCTCTTCAGGTAACGCCTCCAACTGGGTCGCCACCTAACAAACACAAAAACAACACCCTCTGACCGGTGATCTTTAAAGTCCACCGTGACGTCTTGTTCAAACTGATCGCACCTTTTTAAAGAACTGGATCTGCTGAACTGAGTCGGTCAACTCCAAACAGGACCGCAGGGTCCGGGCAAGCTGTATGACTCCATCGTTTCCTTCTTCTACAGAAAGGCATGCTGGGACACAACAAGACGTCACATGGAGCGAGGAACTGAGAATGCAGCATCACAGTTCAGTTCTCTTACCCATCAGCTGCTGCAGCTTGTCTTCATCCAGAACCACAGCCTGGACTTTAGACGTCTTCTTCTTCACCACCATGTCTCTTTGGGTCAGAACGCAAGCAGAGCAGAACCTGCAGGAGAACGCAGGAGACGGAACGTAAAACCAGATGAAGTTTGTCATTAGCTCGTCCTTCTGGATTAGTGTCACCTAAACTTTCAAAATTAGGATGAATGTTGTCCAACATTCACTCCAAGAATGTCCATCATTTCTCTTGTCCTCTCAACTGCATCTCCACAGAAGACCTTCTGTGTCCATCTCCCAGCATTGTCCTCTGTCCCAAAAAAACATACTTCACCTCATCCACCCCCACAGACCCATTTTCATCATCTTCTGTCCAACATGTCCACTGTCCCTCCTATGGACATGTCCACTGTCCCTCCTATGGACATGTCCAAACATTTTCAGCCTCATCTCTCTATCTTTGTCTGCTAACCTGAACCGTCCCTCTGATGGACTCAATTCTATTCTGTCCATAGATATGTCACATGTCTGTCTCCCTCTGTCTCACACACACACACACACATATATGTATATATATATAT